CTTTTGATATAAAAATAAAAAAAAAAATATTATAAGGGTTATTATTTCTAAGATAAAGTATTTAAAAGGATATTATTTGCAGAAATAAATCCCCAGACCAAAACATTTTCAGAAATATTTAATAAATGTTTTAGAACAGTCAAAGTTTCTTGAGATAAAGATTGTGGAAGATTTTTTATTTCATTTAATGCTTGAGTACTGAATACAAATATACGTCTCAAGTCATTTGCCTAAAAAAAATATCAGATTGAATTATAAATTTAAAACTGACATGTAAATAGAGATTACTAAATTCATCACAGAAGTTTTTTTTTATTTGCCTTATTAAAATATTTATATAAAGTTAATATGTTGTACTGTGAGTGCAAGAGAGTAGTTACATTTAAAAAAGTTGTTACATTGTAACTCTTATGAATTTAAACTTCTATTGTCATAATTTTAAACAAAAAAGATTTCATTTTAAGTGTTTAGTCAAGGAGTTACATTCTTAATTTCGCATCTCAAGAAAACGCCTAAAGTTAAATGATACATTAATGGATTTGTAAGGTTCTTGTAACAACTTTTTTTATTAAAAATATAAGCTAAGAGTAAAAATAGGATTAATTAAAAAAAAAACTTCAAATTAGGCAAATGTTTAAAAAAAAAACAATTATTATAGTAAATTTATTAATAATATTTTGTACATATAAAATGACTTCACCTCAAACTCTTTTTTAGCAGCATAATGTGATTCCCAAGAGAGACCTACATCAGTAGATTTTACTGTGGTGGAGTATTCTTGCATTAAAGCTAAAATTATAGAACATCCCAAAATTTGCTGCTATAATTATAAAAATAATAATATTGTAGTCATTATTCAAAACACGTCTTACATGTGCACATCACAAATTGATAAATGAAACTTTAGTTTAAAACATGTGCCATATGCTAGTATTGTTTCTGAAATGAACTTGAACAAATTTTAGATGCTATGGACCCAGGAGTTAAGAATATATGAGCAATTAGTATTAACATAGGGATATATAGATTTATAAACTATTTATGATTTTCAATAATTATGACATACTGCATTGCCATAGGATTAAAGATATTTAGAGGAAACTAAATCTTATTTCTTCCTTCATAAGAAATAAAGTACTTATGAATTTTTTAAAAGATTTTGGTGTGAATAATTTTTAAACTATCTAAAACCTCCCATCATATGTCTAACTCTTATGAAAATATGAAATATTAAGTATATTTAAAGTAATTAGTTGAAATATATTTCCACAACATAAAATTCATCTATAGTTACAATAACTATGTTGTGATAATAATATTCTTCAAATATTATAAAACTGTTGAATATTTCATAACTCAGTAAAGTTCAATGATTAAAAATAATATAAAATAATAAATAGCCTAAAAAACATTTAATACATGTTATCATGTTAATATTATTGCTCGTAGTTCCTCACCATTATTTCTCAAAATTTTTCTCAAGTTTCACTTCACAAACAAAACTATTGAAAGATACATGTCTCAATCTGAAACTCCATCTGTAATGTTTACTTGTTAGTAATATGTTATTATAAATGTAAATTGAATTAAAGTGTTGAATTTTTAAAATAAAGTGTTTTACTATAAATTAAAATAAATATACCTTATTCATATGTACTTATCAATATTTATTTGGCTACTTTTTATTACAATTAATATAATGATTTTTTCAAAATAATCAATTAAAAATCTTAATTTGGATAATTATTTAAAATATAGTAAATTTATTTTAAATAACTTATATTATTGTGGGAC